CATGAATGTCCCTCTCAATTAGGACTCTCCTAGCTAGAGTCCTAACACTTGTTAATCTTTGACTTGTGTCATCTTACACTTGGGTCTGAGTGTCAAAGCTTAGTCTGCAACGCATGAGTTTAAATGTAAGTTTGGACCTTTTTTAACAGCTTAAACTTACAGGAAAAAAGTCATTAAACTAAAATCTTATCAAAAACATGTCGCTATTTCTATGTTCTCCACTTTCACTGCTTTAAAATTTAAACTGCTCAACTCTTGTGATTCCTAATCAAAGATAACATGTCTAATCAGCAACAAACATAAAGTTCAGTTCTGCTGATTTATTTTGTTACAACACACTTTGCAAAAATGCATAAACGTTAAACCTATAATGCCCTTCCATTTCAATGGCATTTAAGACATTCCAGGACAAGAATTACTATGCCAATCAGCAGGAGTTGACATGTATTATGTTAGAAAGGTAATAACATGTGTCATGCCAGAGGTGCTGACATTGACTCAACCAAATTTTGACCAGTGATGGTTGATATAGCGATGTGCTAACTGGCAATGACACAGAATCATGCTATGGTAGAAAAGTCGAAAGCAAGATTCTAAAGTTCAGTCAGGAACCTATACCAGCTTTTAGGTGGACTGGTTCGGCATTGGTATGGTGGGATGTATTTTGTGTTGGTATAATGGTTTGCTATAAATTGCACGGTTCGGCATGGTTTGATCGGTATTTACTGGTTCCACCATTGATAGATACACAGACCAGATCAGCCCAACAGGATGGTTAGGTCTAGTTCTATATGTTTTTTTTTTCTTTTAACCCCATCAAGGTTCAGCTATGGAGGCAACTCCTTGATTAGCTGTCAGACCAGTAAATATCACCATGTATCGATTGGTACAGCAACTATTTTAAACATTGGTCCAAAACAACACTGTGCCGTAGGCGGACTGGTTCGGTATTGGTATGGTGGGACATATTTTGTGTTGGTACCATGGTTTGCTAAACTGCACGGCTCTGTATGGTTCGGTCAGTATTTACTGGTTCCACCATTGATCGATACACAGACCAGATCAGCCCAACAGGATAGTTAGGCCTAGTTCTATATGTTTTTTTTTTTTTCTTTTAACCCCGTTGATCGATACATGGACCAGTCTAACTGGACAGTTCGGTCTGGTTCTATATATATATATATAATTTGGTTCTTTTAACCCCATCAAGGTTTAGCTATGGACGCAACTCCTTGATTAGCTGTCAGACCAGTAAATACCACCAATGTATTGATTGGTACAGCAAATATTTTAAACACAGGTCCTAAACACCACTGTGCCATAGTACCATGGTTTGCAGTACCGGTCCGTACCGCCCGTATCGGGCGGTACGTACCGGTCCGCCAGACTTCCAGTACGCGGACCATATGTTATCGTTCCGATACTGTAGCAGTACTGTAACAGTACTGTAGCACTGTAGCACTGCTACAGTGCTCGGCACGCCTAAATATACCGCTCGGTACACCTGGGTGTACCGAGCGGTATACCGTACCATACCGGTACCAAGCCCAGGTCGAAACTCCGGTACGGTACGGTATTGCGAACCTTGCATAGTACAACAGTCCCTAACTGCAGGAACTAATAACTAGTACAAATATGGCAGGAATACACATTAATCAGAAATAAAGTGAAATTATGGAAACTAAAAGAATAAGAGAAACTACAAGCAAATGATTGGGTGAAAGCACTCACATTTGACACTAATTAGTATCTAAATCAAGAAATATAGGACATTGATGTTTGACATAATATTGATATGATAACCTTAATATTTGATACTTGATAGTCTTGAATTGGTGATATACCTTGGAGGATTTAATGATTGCACGTGCAAGGCATATAAGCTGCCGTTGGCCAACTGAAAATGATGTTCCATTTTCTTTAACAATGATGTCAAGTCCACCAGCTGTTTCTACTTCTTCTTTGATATGGCATTTTTCAAGAACTTCCCAGATTTTGAAATCAGGAGTCATACAAGAAGGATCTAGATTTTCCCTGGAGCATGAAGAACAAATTGTCAAGCCACTGTTTGAGACTGATTTGATGAGATTTTCTTAGGTATATAATGCATCTCCATTGCTGATCCATTTACAAATAAAGAACCACTCGTTATGAAGGACATTTTGAGAAATATAAAGGAATAATGAATTTCTTTGTTGTTCTTACCTTAGAGAACCTTCAAATAAGAATGGGCTCTGAGGAACTACCGCAAAACGCCCACGAAGCTCTCTAGCAGCAATGTCAGCAATGTCAAGACCATCTACCAGTATGCATCCATTACAGATGGGTGTAAGGCGGAAAAGTGCATTAAGTATGCTAGACTTTCCAGCACCTGTTCTCCCAACAATTCCAACCTAATATGAAAGAACATAAATCATTTTAATAAAAAAATAAAACAGGTAATGGGAGGGAAAATAAGATGCCAAATGTGATCAAGTCTCAGAATAGTCCTGGAACCTGCATGATTGACCAATTTTATATCAACTGTCAGTGTTATATATCCCTTCACTAAATCCAAAAGACAGCACTAACCTGCATGCCTGATGCAATACTGAAAGAAAGATCATGTAAAGCAGCTGGCAATGATGGTTTATATCGAAGGGTGACATGTTCGAATTCAATCTGTCCTTGCATTGGCCAATCTGGAAGCAGAGCTTGGGATGCTTGAAGTCTTTCTTGTGGAATATCCATGTACTACAAATAATTTGAAGTGAATTACTGACTTCGAATACGTTGATGGATCATATGAAAAATGATCAATTTACCTCAACAACTCTCTCAACAGAAACCATTTCCTTTTCTGTCTCAGTAAAACTGGTAAGAAAGCTGCTCAACAATGAAACTATTGGTGCTGCATAAGATAGGGCCAATCCTACCTACAACCAAATAAATGAGATAATAAAAATATGAATTATCCTTCACACTAATATACATAGATATTTCCATCTTAAATAAAATAGGGAAAAAGAACAATTTTCAATTTGGAGACTTACCAAACCAGGAGTACCAAGGCTCAGTGGAAAATCATGTCTGGAACCAATGACAGCCATCACACCAATAAATAAAATAATGGATGCTGCCAATAACTGAAAAAGAAAAGACAGGTCACTGATTCCAACACTTACAAAAGCTAAACACATCACACATCCAGGAGGCATAATTGTCTCAGTAAAACGTGGTGGATTAAATTAAAAACTTTACATGTTAGAACAATTAGGTGCAAATGAAAAATAAGAAGACTAGTACTTGGAGGCGCAAAGAAAGCCACAAACTTGCTGTTTGCTCAGAATACGAGGTTTGCTGATACAACCGAACATGTTCCAGGAATCTGGCCATAAATATTTCCTGCCATTTACATCATTAGCAGCAATATGTGCATCTTACGAAAAAAGAAATCTTCATAATTTTATTAGTTAAAGGTAACTGAGAAAAGTAATCAAATCTCTTTATAAAATGCTGGAGCAAGAAGTTGCCTTATTTCTTCTAGATAAAAAAATTAATAGAAAAATTAGAAATTTAATTAGAAAACTTTATTAATTCAAATTCAGAATGTACCACATGGTTATGCTCATTAAGCATTTAAACAAGGCACATACATAGCTACATGCAAGTACAATCTTTCAAAAGATATCAAGCATTTCATGTGCCCAAGAAGACAAAAGGAGATCCAAATGTCATGTAAAATGCACTTAATGCTAATAAACCCTGTTGATGAAATTTGGTTGTACCAAAGAACAAGAGGTTGCTGCTACAATAGCTCAGTATTCTTCATAGCAAAGTCAAGGATGGGGATTGTTTGTTCCTTCCCAACCATTATCATCAATGTTCTATAAGGAACATCAAACAATTGTCTTACTTTGGAGTTCAAGAACACTCGCACTACCTTTGCCCAGTGGCAATAACCTTGGCTCCAGAAAAATTGAAAGATGTCATCGATATCAAGGATTCAAACACTAGTCAAATCACTGCATACCAACTGATATTTACTGAAACAACCAAAAGCTGGTAGCTGATTATATAGCTTAGAACTGGTTATTATTCATTTTTTGGTGATATCGAGTGGTACAGGGTAGTACAATGGTACCACATTTGTCTTACAAGGTGTTGAAACTGATATTGGACAGAGATTTTAAAACTTGATCCATATAACAAGGAATCCCTCATGGAAACCTCACCTTAATAGTACTCTTCAGGGATTTTTTAAATGGTTTTAACTCAAAGATTGAGCGTCATATAACAGACGACTAGCAATCAGTGCAATGGCTGAAAAATGAAAATAAGCACAGCAGAACAGAAAATGAAGATGAGAACTAGCGCCCTCAGAAATTGAGAAAAACCTCCAGCAATATTTATTCACGGTCTGGACAACAAGCATCATCTTTGCAGGTATCTCAAGCAATATGAACTTCTTATTTTTATCAACAATCAACACCACTACAATATATGAACTTCTTATCTGTATCAACACCGCTACAAGATGAACTTCTAATCTGTATAAACACCACTACAAGATATAAACTTCTTATTTGTATCAACAGCAGTACAGAACTACGTAATCTGATCATTCTAAAAAAACACTATGCAGAAGAGTATCCAATGTTATCAAGAAATCCCTCTCCAATATCATATCTTGCTTCACTTTTGTAATATCCCATTAGTCCCACATCGGAAGTGGGCAATGAGTATGATTGGCTTATATGGGTCTGATGAGTGTACTACGTTAACTCCCGCTTAAGCATTTTGGTCTGTGGTTGAAGGACCAAAATGGAGTTATTGGCCAGTTAGCTCATCAGACTCGGGTCGTAACATTTGGTATTAGAACCGACCTAGCATTTGGGCAGGGTGAGAGGGCTCGAGTAGAAAAGGGCTACCCGTGGATGGAGTCAGAAAACTCATTTGGTATTAGAACCGACCTAGCATTTGGGCAGGATGAGAGAGCTCGAGTAGGAAAGGGCTACCAGTTGGCTCATCAGACTCGGGTCGTGACAACTTTGAAGACATTTTTGCTCATGAAAAAACAATAGTCAAGCAGTTTCACACATCATAAGAGTGAAAGTGTACCCCAAGAGGAAAGATACCCACATTTGGTGGCTTAGTGTAAAATCTTTTTCTTGCGCCAAATAGGGAAAACAAGCAGAGAACGATAGAAGTTATATCTTGGTTCTCAAAAAATAAGTCAACAAGGAACAAAAGAAAGAGAAGTGGTGAATAAAATCAGAAAATATGAACAAGAGAAGAGGCAAACGAGCAGCAGCACTGAAGAAAAGAGAGCATAGTACGATGCAAATAACTGAACTTCCATACTGATATCTAATTTAGGTTCAATTAGAACCAGACAAAAATTGCATCCATTTTACATCAACTTTCTGGATTTTGTTTTTATTATAGGCAAATGTGCATCAAATTTTATAAGAATTTAACAGGTTCAGTGGTTAAAGATGGATGACTCATGTCTATGTTTGTTGTTCTTTCTTTTATTTCTAGGTTATAAGACACACATTTAGGTGTTGGTCATTCAGAAATCTTGTGTGAAGACCAAGAAGATCAAAGCAAGAATGTAAAGGTGTTTTTTGCATCCTGAAAAGTCTTCACCAAGTCAACAAATATTCCATGCCAAAAGAATATGGATATGAAGTATGGACATCAAGGAATACTAAAAGTCACTCCAATTACATCTGCATATTAATTTTGGGGTTAGCAAACAAGAGCAGCTTTACATCAAACTAGTTAGTCTGGTGGTGCATATCCGGATCTTTTTCCAACAAGACAAGGGGCCAAACCCTCACTATGGCACTATGTGTGCCAGTTGTCCTATTCTCAGTTCGTCCTCCATCCGTGATGATCTACCACCAGCTACTAGGATCTGAAGCTTCCTAGTGGAACTCAAGAAAAAAAAAAAAAAAACAAAACACACACACACACACACACAAGGATCTTTAACAATAACAATGACTTTTAGTGTAAGATGTGAGAAATATTAAATCATATTTATGAACTAGAATGGACCTACGATAGCCCAGTTTGCATTTTCTACTATGCAAATTTAATGCTAAAAAAATTTGAAGATCCCTGCTAGCTAATGGTGCTTGTTCTGTGGAAGACATTATTCTGATTTAAGATCCTTGGCAAATTTTAACACATGGATAACGACACCATGTAAGATACCAGTACCAGGGTTTGCCGTACCGAGCCGTATCACCCGGTACGGGCGGTACGTACCAGTCCGACAGGTTTTCGGTACGCGGACCGACGGTTATCGGTCCGAGGTACTGTAGCAGGTACTGTAGCACTGTAGCAGTGCTACGGTACTCGGTACACTCAGGTGTACCGCTCGGTATACCGTACCGTACCGGTACCGAGCCCAGGTCGAAATACCGGTACGGTACGGTATTACGAACCTTGACCAGTACAACTACAATTCTGCAACTTTAGAAACTTGCAACTACTTGCAAGCAAAGATATGATGACGAAAACATAATGTAATACAAACACTTGCAAAGAAAATCACACTCAAAACATGCTCAAAATCAAATCTTGTTTAATGAGCCCAACACACAGCAGAACATACAACGAAGTATGATAACATCCGGTCCACCTTAATGACTAATCATGTGAATATTTATTACTTAGGAGCTTTCTTTTTTTAAGGATACCATGACAAAAACATACTGTAAGACAACTACATGCAAGCAGAATGACAATAAAAAAAGCTCAAATCTAGTTTGATGAGCCAACACTCAGCAGAACATACAACTAATGATGATGTAATCTGGTCCACCTCAATGAATAATCATGCAAACTGTTTGGATTTTTTTGTTGGAGATCAATGAACCATTGATAGTGTTAAAGCACAAAAAAATTACCAGATAATGACAAATGTTATCACTGAAATGTCTGCCCAGAAGTTACCAGAGAATGACAAATGTTATAACCAAGATGGAAACCATGATAGTGGTGGCTGCTAATGTAAAGCTAATTTGCCATATTTACCTCTTTCTTAAATGCCCTTATAGTACATGAGCCATCCAATGTTTCTGTGAAAGATGAATATATAGGTGAGCGTGAAACACTGTCTAGTCTCCGTAGCTCACGTGAAGTGCACCTGTAATAGAACTACAATATATGTCAGTTTTATGTATCATACACAACATTTAATACATGTACCAAAATTTGTAATTATAGTGAACTGGGTTTACATCAGCCTAAATTTGATTTTAAGTTGGATGAAACCATGACTGTCATTGCATTACTGTGACATAGCAATGGCAATGCATGATGTGTAAGTATGCATAAATTCATTTATGAGCCATTTTATATGAAGCAAGGCGTTAAATACCAATTGGACTAGCTTTGCTGATGTTTACTTATCCAAGCAAGTACCAATACTGAAAGTTATAGCACAACACCAGTACATATACAGTTCACTTTTATTTTTTATTATTTAATTCAATAATACCAGCAATGAAGATCAGTATATCACAGGTACACTGGTATGTATTTATAACTTTGATACCAGGAGGTCAAAAGGGTAAAAAAAAAACTAGGAGATAATGGACTTTGAGTTCTTCTAAGATGTTAATCAGTGAAATGGAGGCTAATAGCAATTTACATCCCTCCTGAAAATAGGGGATCTAGCCCTGTCTTCAGTTTGCTATAGGTAAGAAATTCCTTCCAATGATGCATTAATAATCAGGATTTTAAGCATTGTAGGCATTCCTCATGTTAAATGGCAGCTGATACATAGCTGCTAGTACAGCACAACAAACCAGCATGCCAACAAAGAGGTTCCAGCAGAAATAAATAAATAAACAACCAAACAAACAACAAAAATAAATGAATAAATAGAAGGACAACAAAATTGTAGGATAGTAACATACTAACATCTACTGTTGTATTTCAATCTAGTTAATACTCCACTTCAATGTCATCTTTTAGAATAATCTATCATCCAGGATAGTTTTATTTCCACACTACTTGTTTTTTACCTTTCAATACAATTCAAGGCATAAAATCTCGACCCAGTGTCGATACTGATAAGCAATCAGACCCAAAAAATTATGCTATGGAGTATTGAGTGATGTATAGGCACTCGGTATGGGTCAGTACCACTCAGACTAGAGAGAAAGAGGGAGAGGAGGAGATGGAGAAGAGGACCAGATGAAGAGGAGGTGAACACGGAGAAGGTGGAGGAGAAGGAGATGGAGGAAGTGATCCAAAAGGTGGCAGCGACATTGCGACGGTGGAGGTGGAAATGATGATGCAACAAGGAGGAAGAGATGGAGGGGAGAGAAAGAGTGCACATGAGAGATAAAGATAGATAGATAGATAGATAGATAGATAGATAGATAGATAGATAGATAGATAGAGAGAGAGAGAGAGAGAGAGAGAAGAACAAAAGAAAAAAAAATGACAAAAGCTATCAAAAGTATAAAAAATTTGATAAGGTACTAGGCATTAGGCTTACTTCCTAGCGCATTTGGTTTCAACTGTAAAAATTGGGTGGGATGCCCGGTACATGGTAATACTAATTTGAACTGGTGGTCCATATACCAGTTCACAGTTGGACTGGTAAAAACTAATTTATACTGACCAAGATGCTTGATTTTTGATAGCTTGATCCAATATATGAAGTCCATATTTTATGTGTAATTAACTACTAACTTCTCCGTTCACCATCAACCAAGACAGAAGGATGGATTCTCAAAACAAATTGCTTTAGTAAGGGTTTAAGTATTTAACTGCCAAAGATGTCACATGTACTGGTATGTATTTATAGCAAGATAAACACATGTAATGCATGGTTCAAACTTCAAAGTTCAAACACATGTTGCAAACCATACCAGCATAAGGCGACTAGGCATGTACATTCAACAATAAATAATATAGCATACCACATGTCAGATATCTGTTAAGCCAAGGCCGACTGGCAAGGAAGAATGTGAAATGTCAAAAAAGTATACATAAGAAGTATATGAAACTTTCAAGTATTAGTATGCACAAGGATTACCATGCCCATTGACACACCGTGCTGACAGTGCCGCTAGAGGTGCTGGCATATAGCTGGGTCTAAATTGGCACAGGGCCGAGCAGTGCAACATGAAATAGGACCGTGCTAGAAAGACACTAACATGCCTCCTCGCCATGAGAGAATCCTTGGTTCTTTGTATTGCGATTAGTGAGTTAAGTGTACCCATGTTTTTGTTTTGATTCAACTTGGTCATTGTCTAAAAGCCTAATAGACCACAATTTTCTAGTATCTAGATATGAGAACCAAAATCAAGCAAATGTACAAGGAAAAAAAAAATTTCTAGTTCTAGGTGCGTCGATTTACCTAGAGCAAAAATACTGGGTCTGGTTATGACAATCACTGTTTCCTATTCCCTTGCAAGGACACCTGAAACAGAATCAGACAACTCCATTTGCTAGATGTTGTGCTCCACCTAGCTCAAAGCATACTTAGTTCATCGGGGATGTTATCATCCCAAGAATTTCTGATTCATAACCCTGTCATTCACATATTTTAGCATGGTTTAAGATTTCAAGCACTGCTTTGATGGTCATATCATGTCTCTATGTATCACTTTTATCATTTAAGTGATGGTTCCAGATCTTTAATTCATACCCTTTCATTCTAATATTTAGTTAATTGTTGCATTTGCAGTGCCATTTTGGCCTAAGATACCAAAGCTCATTGTATGAATTAAGATATACTTCATCTTATGACTTTAATTTAACAAATATAGACTTACATCAATTATCTGGGGCCATTGATGTGTTTAGAACCATTGATGTGCATCACATAGCAACTTGAAAAATAATTTTGAAAAATATAGGACAGGTTGTGGTGTAGTTGCTTTTCCATCATTCCTCAAATTCCAATAATAAATTCATTCTAGTGTCAAGTTCTTAGTGTGTACTTCTCTGCAATAAATTGTTCGGCACAGTTCTGGTAAATTGTCCTCCTTGTGTTCTCATCATTAGTAGCAAAAGCCATATCAGTGGTAGGACCTAATAGATTAACTTTAAACTCTAATACTGGCTATTCATGTTTCAAATCCTAAAAAGAGTATCAAATCATAGAACTCATATATGTCAAGCATATAGAATTCCTACTCATTTACGGACAAACAACAGCAAAATTATTCATTTACAAAAATATTAATGATAAATACATTTAAGTTATTAAAACATTACAAAGGAAATATTTTTTTGCAGTGATGCTTTAATGAGTACAGTATGGTTATTACTTTAAGAGAAACATATAGATGGACCATCATCACATATAACAATGATAAGAGTCAAAAATAAGAAAATGAAGCTGATAGATCCTAAATTCCTTGGCCTGTATGTAGTTTCATTGTAACCTAGAAAGCATAAAGTTTAATAGGGTAAGATAACTAAATCAAAGAGTATGAAGGATGAGTACCTGCAGTTTTCTATATATATAACTCAGAGGAACTAACAGAAGCAAAAAAATGATCTGCATTGACATTCATAGATCACTAGCAAGGTCAGTACTGTGGCTGTATAGAACTATAAATATTATTACGGACTAAAAGATGCATATATAGAACCAACTTGTCATCTACCTGTGAATATGATAAAACTACTGCGATACCCAGCAAGCTAAAGAAATTGGCTAGGAGAATATTGAGAATAAATGGAAGAGAATCGTCAATAGCATACAAATCTGATGATAATCTGCATTCGATGGAATCTTTATTAGTATTCTATATACCAAGAAGCTTCATAAAAGAAAATTGGTGTTCTTATTCCAGACCTATTAAGAATCCTTCCACTGGGGTTTTGGTCAAAGAAATATACAGGTGCATTAACCAGCTTACTTAGAAGCTCAGCATGCACCTCGACTGCAGCACGTAGACCACCATATGAGAATGAGAATGCCCTTGCTAAGGTGAAAAGAGAATTCATAAAACCAAAGATGGAGAGCACAAGCTACAAAACAGAAAGAATATCATTATAGTAACTTAATAATATGAAATAATTGTCATTTTACATTTCACAAATACATGTTTGAATAATAGTCAGTTTCTAATAATACTTCCAGATAATGGAAGTATGTCGAAGCATACCAAATAAAATCTTGTGTGCTCAGTTCCAGCAGTGGCATCAACCCAATGAGATAACCATAGGTCATTACCATTTCGGGATGCTTGCATAAAAGATGCTGAGATACATATAAGAATAACAACAGGCCAGCTGGCAAACTTGGCATAACTTCTGTAAAGTAGAAGTGATGCTCATGAAGAATAATTCAGATTAGTAACTAAAAGTTTGTCATGCTAGATGCTAAATGGCACAATATTATAAACTAAGAGGAACTCATCACTTACTTATAAACAGCAAGTTCGACTCTGCCTTCTTTCCTTGACTCTTCCATATCAGCACTTTTGTTTGCATCCACTGAAGCAGCTATAAGTTCGTTGTCTACCGAAGGCATAAACATAATTTCATCAGAAGCACTTCCCTTTCTTTCTTTCAGTAATAATTGTAATGATGAGAAGTCTGAATCTTTGGGTAGAGAAATTTTTGAATGTGGAGATTCTATAAAACTGGATAAATTCCCAACCCACTTTATATGTCCTTTGTCCATGATCAGTATCATATCTGCAGCAGAAATTGCCTGCACAAGGAAGAAAACATCATATTATCCACTATTTTTGTCTTAAGAAAAAAAGTAATGAGAAATCATTTGAGGAGTCTTGCTAAGTTGCTAATTGACTGAAGCAAATCAAATGTGTAGAAGAAGAACAAGTTGAACATTTCCAAGAACATGCTTGCTGCGATTTATGCTGATACACCATTTGACCTAATCACCTAAAGATAACCGTGGGTTCATGTTTGCTGTATAAATTTCCAAGAAATTCAAGTTATTAAACCAGCATTAATTATTAACTTATTCAACTTCCAATAAGGTAAATGGTGTAGCATCTGTATAAATAAACATAGTCCCATTTGTTTGCCAAGTGCAGACCTGAGGATTATGAGTGCATAGAATCCGTGTCTTTCGGTTCATTAGAGGGCCTAATATAGTTCTATGCAGAATCCAGGATGCGACTTGAGAATCAACTGCACTAAGTATGTCATCAAGCAAGTAAACATCGGAGTCACTGTAGACAGCCCTGAAATATTTCTCAGTTGTTAGGCACATAGACAAAATTCAGAAAATCAAATCAATCTTCCCACAATCAAAGCAGACCTTGCTAAGGCAAGACGGCTTCTCTGTCCACCAGATAAGTTGACTCCTTTTTCTCCAATATATGCAAGATCACCCCCAGTCATCAGTGAAATATCAACATCAAGTGCACATGCCTGTAATACTTTTCTGTATCTGATTTTATTATAAAGTTAAGCACCATGTTAGGCAATGGAAGAAGGTATTTGATATAAATTACATCAAATGCTTAAAAAACTTTAACAATTTGCAGTTTTACACAACATTTACAATTTTCTTTTAGAAAAAGAAGAAGAATCACCTTATAGTGTCAAAATTATCTCCAAGCAAAATGTTATCGCGCACTGAACCTGAAAGGATCCATGGAACCTGCACCTCAATGAAAAACAGCCATGAGAATGTAAAAATTGTGAAGTTAATATTTATTCTTTTTCTGGAAATGCAGAGGAACCTGTGGCACATATGCTATTGACCCATGGGAAAGAATGAACCCCTGAATGAGTCTCATTTCACCCAAAACAGAACATAACAAAGATGACTTGCCTGAACCAACCTGAGAACATTCAGCCCAAATACAAGTTAAAAGTCATGTAGATACAATATGGAAATTAACCAATCAATAGAAAAATAATTTGAACTTGCACTAAGTCATTGTTTAGAAAAGAATCAATTATATAGTTCACAAAACCATATACAAGTATTTTCTCATATGGATCTTTAAAGAGGTACAACCGATTGATGTGCAATACTAGCAGTGCCAAATGTTAGACTTTTATGGGTAAGAATTTCTCTATTAGTATGCCACATGGAGAGCTATAGAACATATCTGAAACTTCTATAACTGAAGAAAAGGTTTACAATACCAGTTGTAGAAATATGGTTCGATGGGGACTAATAAAAAGTTCTGCAAGAGGACCAAGAATTACGAGTGGTAAGTCTCTGGTCTGAGTTTACTGCATAGTATAACCTTACTAGGTGGCAGGTATGAGGCCCCTCCCAATCAAATAAAAATCAACAGGCAAATACCCTTAGCTGAATTTTCAGCCCATATTCTCTCTCCAAATTTTCATGGCATATTTTGCTGCCACTGACTGCACTTACATGCACCAACAGAGAGCATAACAATGGCACATACAATAGGTCTCCGCAGCAAGTAAACATGTCATAATGATTTAGAACCAGAATTTACTTAAGTGCAATGCAAATTCAATTAACACTAAGGTTGAAAAGAAGAACCATATTTGAGGATCCAAAGTTTATCAGTCACCTCGCCAATTACAGCAACAAAGAGGCCATTTGGAATTTCCACAGAAATGTTATTCAGAACAGTGCTCTTTTCCACTTTTGAGCTGCTAGACCACACGGAAGATGCATCTTTAAAGAGAATAGCTGCGTGCTCTTTACTACATGTCAGATTCCTTAAAAAACAAGGCAGAGGATCATGTCCTTGTAGTTCCCAGATAGATGCCCTTTTAATTTCAGAACTTTTCTCAGGGCAGGACAAAAATCTGCTCAGTCGCCTAGTAGAAATTATAGCCTGTAACAGATTTTGCATTAATGCAACATTAAAATGAGGAAAATTCATACAAACAAGAAAAATAAAAGATAAAATCATGTGACTTACATCTATCAATCCATTAATCACCCAGGGAAACGAATTTAAAGGAGAAATCAATGTATTGAAAAGTGCAACACAGGTAAAAACCTGAAAGATATGTAAATGATGATTTATTAAGGAATTAAATGTGATAAACAATTTGATATAACAAACAATGATTCATAATCTTACTGTAGCAGCATCTAATGGATGCCCCATTAATACGAAGACTCCAAAAGTAAACAAGGAGAACAGTGTTGGGGTTGTTGCCCAGAAAAACACACACCATGCATCCAAGTATTTCCGAGTCTAAATACATCTGAGAATGTTAGAAATATAATTTGACATAGTTTATATAAGTTTGTGGGACGTAAAGTATTATGTTTCATACTGAGAGGTGTTTCACTTCCATTTTTCTTCTTTCCATCAAACGTTGGGTAAATAATAGCTCCCAGCTATACATTTTCAATGTCCGGATGTATGTTAAAAGTTCTCCAGCACTTCTGATTCTGTTCAAAATAAACATGTTATGACATACTGCATTCTTTTAAGAAAAAGAACTAATAAAATAAAGATGATTTGTCAGCAGGTTAAGTGAATAGAAAATCATGTAAAGCTCCATTTTTTTCATGTCATTCAGATAGCATGTCAACAATGGTCTTGATCACATTAGCCAACATTGATAATGAATATAGAAATATCAAAAAACATTATGCTTACTCTGCTTCTTCTTCTTTGTTTTCGGTTAAATAATAGGATTAAAGCCATTATTACCAAGTCACAAATAAATCAACCCAAAAAAGTCCCTTCTGTTTGGTTAGTAACCCAACCAATCACCTCTTATGCGAGTTAACAAGAAAGATGGCACTGTTATTTAAGCCATCCTCATGATCCATAATTTTTTCCTGGTTATCTGTTGTTAAACCAATTTGACTTGATTGAAGCACCCATACTAGATGCTACTTTGTTGGTTGATTCTCTAACCCATCACTTAACCCTCTGAACTAAACAGAAGTCTATCTAAATGATCAGCTGAACAACCTTCCATAATTAGTTTTAAGTTCCTAATTAAGTTAAGCACTCATTGGAGAGATGCACATGTTGAAAAAGGCTGGACAAGGAAGAAAGTACTGACATAATGCATCAAGACTAGCCAATGGATCAGAATGGCATGTCAGTATAGAGCAACATATGCAGCAACTGGAGAGAGAGAGAGAGAGTGAGTGAGTGAAGGGAGCAATATATCCTCCTCTGCTTCCTCATCTTCCTCCTCTCTTCCACATCCCACACCCCCTTACCATATCGTCACTGCTTTCTCCTTCCTTCCACATCAGTGCCTCCTCCTCATCCGAGTCATTGCTCCTATCAGTGTCGCCTCTTCCTCCTCACCTCCTCCTTTACCTTTCCCACCATCTCCTCTGCTTCCACATCCTCCCTCTCCCCCACCTCCGAATCTTACTCTTCTTCCTTTGCCTCCACCACCTCCATGTCCTCCTCCACCACAGCCACCACGTCTTCCTCTTCTTTACTCATTCTTTCTCTTTGATTAAGGTGGAACCAACACATTGACCAATGCTACTGACATTTATGATCCTTGACTTCAACTTTACATAAAAATCAATAGTACAGGTCCAACAATTTTTGTTCCACTTCCACCTTTATGCTTTGTCAAGACTATTTTATAAACTTTGTTTATTTCCCATCCCTCTCTCTAACCATCCCTCTGCCAATGGTAGAACCTCCCCTTATGCTTCCTCCTCTTCCCTCTTAGTATTTCCCTCCTATGGCAATCATTGGCCTCCTTCCCCTAAGACTACCAAATTTGATGAAATCAGCAAAAGTCGGTTGATTTTAGCCAAGTTTAGTGGAGTTTAGTCCCATAGAGTCAGTTTTAGCTAAAAGAATGAGAAATCAGTGATATTAGATCAGACTTGGTCAATACCAATCTCGATCAGACTAACCATTTTGGTGAACCACATTCAACAAGATGAGGGATTGTCACGAATCAAAATAGGACAATTAAAATGGATGAGTGCTCATGATGTTTTGCGATTATCAAGTTAGCAAATGTTACTAGAAAATACTTATGGGCTTGGGGCAATTAAGAAATGGTGTTGAGAGTCTTGAGACAATGTCATCAAGAGAGATAAATAAGCTATGATGCACATACAAAAAAAGGGATAATAAAGGATAAAGCTGTTATCTGTCATTATGGTACGTCGAAACTAGAAAATAAAAAATGTATAGCTGAGATGCTGGTAAAGGTAGAGTAAAAGCTCCTGGATTTTCTACGATATTGTCTTCAACAAAGCCCAAGAGTGGGTAAATACTTACAAATTTGAGTAGTTAAGAACAAATCTTACTAAATTATAGGTTATTTAGGTCATTTGTTATGAGAAAATATTCTAAAGAATCAAATTAATTTCAATGATACTAATAAACAAACATTACTTTTTTCAAACGTAATCAAATATCAATTGTCGTATGCTAGTGTGTGCATCATAGACAGTTTAATATGACTGGATGCCAATTATAAAACTTTAACCCATCTCATGGGTAAATACACATTCAGAGTAAACCTTCAGGGTTGTAATGGACAAATACATACCAACTTTATTGCCTTTTGCTTAGCATGCCTTAGGATAATCCTATAGCATGGCACAGGAAGCAAAATAAGGCACGGTTTTGTGTGTGAGAAAGAAGGTTGAAAATGTCCAGCAGGTAGTCCTCAATTCTTGATTCAAATAATTTTTACAATTTTAGAGAAAAAAAAGCTACTGAACCTACCTCTCATCCTTTTGTTTCATCATTTTCTCTGTCGCACTTGCAATCAATGTAGAGATCCATTTATTCACTGCCCACAAAGTCATCACATTAAAAAGAAAATCCTTAAAAATGTAGTGCTCATCAACCATATGAAACAAGGACTTCAAGATTTTAGATATCTATATGCAACGCAGCAACAGAATACTTCGAGTCATTGGTTACTAACATGGAAGAACAAGATCAAACAAAGACACAACATAATTCTCAGAGATGGTTGAATGACACAAGAAAATCTACAGTCCGCTCAAAAAGACAACACAATACTGCTGATTCCTGCAATATCAGTAATCATCATACAGCAGATATACCTGGTATAAGCAACACAGTTATCGTGAGTCCTGATATGAACGCAAAACTGACCTGCGTATACAAAAGAAATAGAGCCACGCCTATCTGTAAAGGCAAGCTGGAAATATAGAAGAATTAGAACTACACATGTAAAGTACAACAAAAGTGAGGAAAAAACAGATAAGTTGCCTGTTAATTAACTCGCATTTAGCGGTAACAAAGAAGAATTAGCATTTGGTCATACACAATCATATTATAGAGAATTACCTATTAGCAAAGTGCTACCATAACATACAGTACTAAAGTCATACGGTACATCGAACAATAACAACAACAAATTCATAAACTCCAATTATTTGGGGTTGGCTATATGAATCTTTTGCCACCATGAAGTCATGTGATACACTCACATTTCAAAAAAACAATTTATATAGGAACAAGAAAAAAGACAATTTATATGCATCAGCTATGTCTATATATCTGTAAGTGTAGAAAGGGGTTTGAAGAAAATAAATTCATATTTCTAAAAACTTGCCAGAAAAGTAGCAGTAAGAACGTCAAACTGGATCTACAGATAATGTAGGATTCATAAAATCAAATATTTTTTGGGTACAGGTTACATGTACCAGTCCAACAGAGTTTTATGGACTGCATACACAGTGGTGAGCAGTATACCTCAAAATGCAGTTGACCATGGTGTACAAACTGGCAAACCACAATTTTGAGCTACTTAGTGACAAAAGCAATCCAGCCTGTTTCAGTGAAGTAAAAATAAGATCTGCATTCTGGTATAGCTGTGTCTTTTATCTTGTACTCTAGTGGTGTAGATGATCCAGTTGGTTTAACATTATCTCGATAAAAGGCCCAACAGGGTGGGTGCTGAAAACAAAGGACCAAGATGAAGAACAGAAGATGAAGACTAAGAGTCGGAGGATCAAAAAATACTTATTGATGATAAAGAGATTAAGGAAAGATAGAGAAATTAGTTCTATAAATTACCTAATGAACATTCTACAAACAACTTAGCAATCATAGATTTATACAATTAGTAATCATAGATTTATTTGTATAAATTAGAACAAGCAAGGAAAAAAAGCTTTAAAAAAGATAAAAATAGGTAAAAGTGTGAGACCTGATGGTATTTCTATTGAGCTATGGAAGAATTAGAAGGTCAAGAAATAGTTTGGTTGACTTATTTATTACCAACAGTTTGAGATTCAGAAGGATCTATACCAATTTAAAAAGAACAATGGAGATATTCAAAATTATTCTAATCATGGAGAAATTAAGGTTATGAGACACACCATGGAACTTTGAAAAAGAATGATTTGAAGATCAAGTAAGATGTAAAATAAATATTTTCTATTTGGTTTTATGTTTGAAATATTAACAATTTTTTTTTTAATAAGATAATTAATGAAAAAGTATAAAGAGAACAATAACATGGTTTTTGTTTATTTTTTTAAAAAAAAGCCTATGATTGAGTCTCTAATATTTATTACACTAAAACACCTTACTATGCTATTTCCTCATCATGTGGGTTACAATTTGCATACTTTTAGTATAGAATTGAATTTTTTGTAAATATTAACTGCTCAATTTAAATGAGTTCTATACTTAGAGCTAGGCACTGGTCTCAAAGAAATCACCCAAGGAGACGTGCCAATCAAAGGAAGGAAAACCCCATTTCAGATACTATTTGATACTTTGAATGGAGCACTATTATACTTAGCAACTTCTTTAGCACTGCTAACTCACACTAACTAAAATGGTAATCTTGAGAAGATGGCCACTAGTGACAAAAAAAACTATAACTAAAGTTTTTGTAAGCGTCAAAATATGATTTATGTCACTTAGTTCAATGACTTTTCATTTGAAAAAACTCATTAGATGATGTATGACTGATTGCATGCAATGGTAAAAACCAACTGAATAACAAATTTTGCACTTTAAGATTATTATTATTTCTTAAACTTCTCTAAATTTACAAAACTCTACTGAATAAGATGGTATCATAATAATCTTCACAAATATAAGTTTAAACATGGATAGAATTGTAGGTGATATATATGTATGTATATATATGTATATGTATGTATATATGTGTATATATATATGTGTATATATATGTATGTATATATATATATATATATATATATATATATATATATACACACACACATACATATATATACAATATACATATATATACAATATACATACATATATATATATATACACACACACACACACACATATATATATATATGTGTATATATATGTATATATATATATATATATATATGTATATATATATATATATATATTCATATACATATATATATATATATGTATATATACATATATACATGTATATATACATACGTATATACATACATACATATATATATATATATATATGTATGCATGTATGTATATACATATTTATATGTATATACTACATACATACATATATATATATATGTATATAAAGCATCATAGTAACGTTTGATAACAGCTTGGCTGAACAAAGTAACAAGGATCATTACTACCACAAAATATAAGGATGACCTACTTGCCATAATCTAAATATGAATAACATAATGTTGCTTGCATTATGCAGTAATTTGTGTTACGCCTATATGATGACTTTTGTTATTGGCAGATGCAATTATTTGAAGGTTGATACTTGGTAATGCTGCAGTAGTCGGACAATGTTACCTCTGCTAATACAAAAAATATACAGTTTTTATATTTGACAGAGAGAAAACAATTGTGTAGTTTAATTCAAAATGTTGTACCTCCATGCATCATGAATGCTGTTACTTAAGTTAACTGTCCGATCTGCATCTACAGACATGAAAGTTTGAACTTCACCTTCAGAAAATGTTGAACATTCAGCCAGACTAATATGTAGGCACTGGTACAAACAAAACCAAAACTCATCATATTGTATAAATTAGAAAAAGCACAGCTACTCCCAAGAAGACCTGGACCAATTTTCTTGACAGCAAATCTGAAAATTCTGATTGCAGAAAGGAAAAAAAAAAAGAAGATGAAAGTAACCACTTATGCCACTTATAGTTATAAATGCTCAACATTAACTGAATGTAACTATTTATCCCACTTTTACAGGGAAAAGAAACGAGTCCTGCATCCCATATATCAGCTAAATATTTGATGAATAAGAATATAATTCATTCAAAAAAACCAGCTTAAAACTTCAAAGTTAGGTATCATAAGAGTATACTTTCAATCATAATGCAAAGCCACAAAGTACTAAGATTGGTTTCATTGCTTTCTCATTTTCCAATATGTCAAAACTTGTTAAGATATTAGGTATGAACTTTGTTGTATAATAAAAGAATAGATGAAAATGTCAAAATGGTATGGAGTGACTAAGGTACAAAACATGCTTTGTCCAGTTGATGATACTTGCTATAGTAGGGAACAATCTGGAAAGGCCAGAGTATGCCACAAACAATAGCTAAACTGTCCATGCAAGTGTTCACCTTCTATCTAGAATGAGTTATAAACACAGTACATGGTGCTGCAACTTGCACACTGGACCATACTGATCCATAGAATCCTGAGCTGATTTATGCTGGTCCAACAGACTGTGCACAGACATGCCATTAGGTATCGCTCTAGTTATCTTGTTAATATGCTAAGGGTCGTACCACATCAGCCCGTGATCAGAACATGATAAACACAGGCTATCCCTTTCAGTATATCATTCATAGTAAGGTAAGACATATGCATTTGCTTACTGATATAAAAGTGATTATAGCTTCTTAGGAAACAGGCGGACTGGAGCTGCTTAGAGAATAATTATTGAATTAGTTTAAGATTTACATAAACAAGGATATAAACCAGATAATAACAGATACATCATAGAGTATCTCCAGGGTAACTTATCAAAAAAATATGATATATGATGTAGAAAACAGCAGAAAGTTATACTGCATATGACAACCTAAAAAAAGAACAGTAGAAATACTTGTTTCCTTGAAAAATCCAAACAGACAACATAGACGACTAGCACAGCTACTGTGCAAGGATGGTAGGCACGAATCAAGAAATAGTTTAATTTTCTATGCTTTTGAGAAAAGAAAAAACATAATATTCTAACAGGGTAGGTTCATCTTGACATGATGCTTTGGCTACCCTGATTATCTTTTTTTAACAATGTGATTTTCTTGCTCTCTCTTTGCATATATACTGTGAAGAAGTATATTGAAATTACTGAAATAAGTTTATGCATATACTCACAAGGGTAGGTAAGGGTAGTACACCTATTAACAGTGTTTGGCTTACACCCTCAAGAAATGAAAATGTTTGCTTACGGAAATACAAAAACATGTTCTATATGCAACATGTTACAGTGAGAAGAAATGGCAAATAGTCAATGTTTCGGCCATGTCAATAGAAGCATGCTTTACCTTGTGGTAAATCAATGTCATTATACTTGATCTCATCATCAACTTTAATTTCATTAGACGAAAAGAGTATTGTGTATCAAGAAAGGACCTGCACCAAAGGATAGTTATCACTGAACAGGACAGAAAAAAAAGATAGTTAATAAGAGTAGGAAAACCTAATATGATTTTGCAAATTGGAAAACCCTATTAATAGATGAAGTTAGCAAATACATAGTAGAATCCATTTGTCAAATTTGGGGAAGAAAGGAGAGAGTTGATGGCATCTCACCAATTTAACACACTTTTGGCTTAATGGTTTCAAGATAATGTTTAAATTGTATCAGAAGAGTTGGTCCTTTGCCTCAAGAAATAGAAAGAATACAAAGAAAACATGTAATATGTCTTTCTACCAGTTATTTATGAAGTTGAAGATGTGCTCATTATCCAAATATTTGTCTTTTAGGAAAAACTTCAGATTTCGTATGAAGATAAAAATTTGACTATAATAGAAGTTTTAAACTCAGTAAAAGCATAAATAGATTAAATTAAGTACAAAACACTTACTAGTGGAAAAAAAGGTCACCTATATATAGCCCAATCTGGAACAAGGAAGTGATTTACCAAGTCATAATCATGTTAGAGTAGTGCCACCTTAAAAAAGGAAAGTTTCTGACACATAAACTTAGTTTGCTAGCCAAGAACATTCTTTTTATAGTTTAAGGTGGAACAGTTTGACTTTCCAAGATGGAATACTACAAAACCAAAGGTTGAATCTAAGATCAGATTAATTTCAATCCAGTGACAAGCATGTCATACAAATGCATAGCTGAACTGATGGACCAGGTATTAAGAAAATGACTAGCAAAAACAATAAATGCCAAAAAGCAACCGAACTGGAGGACGGGAAAAGTAATTGTCCATATTCACTAACCATTAAAAATTAAATAACAAGCATGACTTCAATTGTTAGTAAATCAGATTATACACAAGTATCAAACAGAAAGTCAGTCTTTACACAATTGTGATTGTTTCCCATTATGTTGTCTGATCCATTTACGAAAGAAGGTTCATCCATGCTGGTGTTGGGTGGTTCTGACTTCTGAGAGACCTGTAGATCAATGTTCATATTTATGTTGGCCAGGCCTGAAAACCAGAAACAAAACCCCTGGAAGGTCTGGTTCACTTATTATATCAAGTGCTTAAAACTGCTTAGGTCTCGTTTAACAGGCCAGAAATTTGTTGACCTGCTTGAAGTAGCCAACATGAAGAGAACTGGCACAAATTTTGTTCTTTGGAGCACATCAGTCTATTTAATGGTAATGATGAAGGAAAAAAAAGACATATCAGTCCTCGATACTAACAATCCTTCCGTGCTCTCAAAGGCATATCAGTCTATTTAATGGTAATGATGAAGGAAAAAAAAGGGTTGAGGCTAAACTGACTCACAATTATCCTTATCCCCTCTTATTGTGTCGCTCTCCATCTCTCCCCATAGCCCTTTCTCCCTCTTTCACCGCCTCAGCATGCGACTGTCTCAAATTCTCAATTGCCCTTGGCCTTGTCAGTCTCCCCATTGTCTAGTTCATCTACCCACCTTATTGTAAAAGTTGAGCTAAATAATGAGTAGCAACTGCTGTAGAAACAAGACAATCAAATAATTCTGACAATTCATCGGATTTAGTTAAAATTGTTTTCCCAGCCTCGATATCTACAACACATTTTTTTAGTGATATCTTACACATCATGTCCAAAATATGTAGGTACATTCAGAACACAAAATTTTCAAATACGTTCTGGCCAGAAGAACTACTTTAATATAAAACCATGAAAAAAAGAGAAGAATAATATGAGCCCTGATGTCAAGAATTTCTTAGAACGTACAAGAAAAAACTAATTCAAGATCTACTGTCCTGACACATATTAAATGCACGGCAATTTGATGTCATAGGAATTAATTTTTAGAAGACGTCATGGATACCAGCAAATAAAAGTACAACAATAAAACATTTATTATATGACAGGCTTATCCAACAAGTGTTAGGATGACATAGAAGCATCCTTTTCTTCTGTTGCATAAACACACATGATTGATTGTGAAGGTAGTGGCTAGTATAATGTGGAGAACATGTGATATCAAGGACTAGTACTAGGTAAGCAAACAGTAACATTACCTAAAGTTCCCTACATGTGTTTCCGCAAGAAAAAATTAAAGGTTTTCCATGAATTTAAGTATAAACAAATCAGAAAATAACAAAATTTGTAAATACTTAAAGCTGTTTGTATCTATACATACTTTATGATGGACGTAAAACCCAAGGATACTGCGAGAATATATCCATCCATACTACCAGAACCTGAAAAAATGGAGAAATAATCATTAGAAAATTTCAGTTCCCAAAGTGCAATAAAGATCAGCCAAGAAAGTGCTTTGAAGAACAAGAAGAAAAATATACAGCATTAGTTATAGCACCAACTTGTACCAAATTAGAAAGATCACTACACCATCAAAAAGTAAAGTTTATAAAATTTCAAAAATTAAATAGTGGACAAAGAATATTATACATACAAGAAAATATGACAAAAAGCAGGTGGCTAGGATTTAGATTCTTTGAATATCTGATATCACTAATAAATGACTAGTCTTTGATCCAAGGATTGAAATATAACAAAATACTACCGTACCGGAGTTTCAAGATTCGTTCGGTATGGTATGGAGTAGTATACCGAGCGATATACCGTTCGATATACCATTCGGTATATATATATATATGTATATA